TCATCAGTGGTACCTAACCCCTACCAAACTAGCCATTTTCTACCCAAAACATTCCCCTTCTTGCTGGTGACAATGCGGGGACATAGGCTCCACTCTGCACATACTATGGTCCTGCAAATCTATTAAATCCTTTTGGAATAGTGTATTTCAACTAATAGTCAAAGTTTCCAAAATAATGATAACCCCAAATCCGGCACTTGCATGCTTACACATCGGGATTAACAAATTCCCATATACCTCCCGTACCATCATTGTCCACATACTTTTTGCAGCTAAACTAAATATAACCTGGATTATGGAATACCACCACAGCTTCTTCCCTTCAATCGCTAATTTCAGATCTTAACTTCCAATGCGAAATGGAAAAAAGACTGGCCACCAATAACTCCACCCAACATAAGTTTAATTCCTTGTGGTCTAACTGGCTACAAAACCCTAACTGCGCCCTAAAACCCTGATACCTTACAAACAATTGTTCTACCTATCCACGTCAGACTGGTACTCCCTCCCCATTCCACCACAATTTCTCCTCCCCTCCCCACTACCCCCCCCCTAATATTCTCCCCCTGTTTAATACCCCTTTACTACTTACTTCTCCTCCTCACGGTTCAGTCCAACTCCAAGCATACCTCTGATGTTTATGCCGCAACTCTATTTCCAACCCCAGCCAAAAGGTGGGGGGACATCCTAATAAAGTTATATTGTATGCTTACAATTTATACTGAACCAAATGTCTTCTTCCTGTTAAACTTTTTTGAAAATTTTCAATAAACATTATTGAAATAAAAAAAATTCTTCTTCATCCTATTTTGGTTGCAATATATGCTAAATCAATTATTGTACTCAAGCATAAAATTTTCAGTTTTTTTTATGGCTATGTACTCATAACTGTATTTCTGATCTTTTTTTTTTACTTCTGTGTGCAAAAGGTCTAAGAATAAACAAAAATCAAAGGAATATGTCCTGCAAAACTTTCTGGATTGCATCACTCAGAAAAGCTAACTTGGCTGAGAGCTGTTATGTGACTCCGTGGAAGGAAATTCCATAGTTAGGCAACGCAAGAGTACAACATTTTGTTTAGCTGCTAAAAGTACATCAGTGCATCTGTATCTGTACATCTGTACTAATGATGGAAAAACATGAAAAACAATGTAATTTGGCCTGCATAATGAACCGTTATTGTACTGGATAAAGTACATTTCTTTATTAAAATAGGAGATGCACACTAAGGTTATTTTAAAATAGAAACTATAATCTTTTTTTATTGTTAAAGTATAACTAAAGGCAAAACTTTTTTTTTATTCTGGACAGAGTGTATTAGAACACCTATTAGGTTTTTATTACTATCTCTGCCCCTGCTTGGGATATTCACCCTCTCTATTAGTTCTGTTTACCATTATCATATCAGGTGAAACTAAAAGAAATCCCAAAATTTTGGGTTGTCCCCAGAAAAGTAATAGAGGGGGACACTAGTTTTGGTGACCTGGTGGTCCCCAAGGAATTCCCTTTATTTTCAGGTATTTCCTCTCACTTCCTGATTTGACTATGAGACAGGAAATTAAAGTAAATTTCCACAATGGGACACAGATGGCAGAAAATAAACTGACAGGGTTCATAACCCTCCATTACTCTATCCAAAAAGAAAAAAATTGCCTATAGCTCTACTTTAAGTGCAAGTGATCCACTTAATCATATCATCGTGATATGTTTACAGAAGCTCTGCCACATGTGTTCTGTGCTTTCTTGTGAATTATTTTTTATAGTAATTGGCCGATTCACAAAAGTGATTATTTCACATACTATACAAATTGTAATATTTTAGCAAATTCTGAGGTATTTCACATTCAGTTCCATTAACTTGCACGTTGGAGTCAAATCACAAAAATTAAAACATGGGTTAATCCTAATTTTCCCAGGATAGAATTATCATCAACCGGTAATTGCTTAAGATTATGTTGACTGTTAACAGGTAAAATTCTCCTTTATCAGTTGCTGACATCCCAAAAAACTTCATGGCAAGTTCACGAGGTAGCATTATAAAGAAAGCTTAATATCTGAAAAAAACCTTTGGCACTACACTAAAGTGTTACAGTTTATTGAGGTTAGTAATGGTGGTTTACATATACAATACAGTATTCATGGTTAATCCACTAATTGCTTATGTTGTAAAATCTTTTTGAGTTAACTTTTCAAAATCATGTCATATGGCCAGCTTAAAATATAACTAAAAGCAAAACTTTTTAAATTAGATTTGAATAGAGTTGTGAGGGGCTAGAACCACTGTCAGGTTTTTATTGCTGTTTGTATACAGTTGTGTTCAAAATACTAGCAGTGTGTTGAAAAAAGTGAATAAAGCTCAAAATCCATCTAATAGCTTTTATTTCCATATACACAAATGCATTGGGAACACTACACATTCTATTCTATTCCAAATCAAAGCATGAAGAAAAATATATCAAGTTTGTGTTGTTCCTCTAACAAAATTGAAGAAAAGTGAATATTAGGCTGTTCAAAAAAATAGCAGTGTTTGTATTCTTCTTTACAAACTCAAACATTCACTATATAAACTGAAAAATGTTTGAAGATTTTGCTTTCCTTTGAATCACTTAATTAATATTTAGTTGTATAAGCACTGTTTCTGAGAACTGCTGTACATCTGTGTTGCATGGAGTCAACCAACTTCTGGCACCTGTGAACAGGTATTCCAGCCCAGGATGATTGGACTACATTCCACAGTTCTTCTCTATTTCTTGGTTTTGCCTTAGAAACTGCATTTTTGATGTCCCCCCACAAGTTTTCTATTGGATTAAGATCCGGGGATTGGGCTGGCCACTCCATAACGTCAATCTTGTTGGTCTGGAACCAAGATGTTGCACGTTTACTGGTGTGTTTGGGGTCATTGTCTTGTTGGAACACCCATTTCAAGGGCATTTCCTCTTCAGCATAAGGCAGCATGACCTCCTCAAGTATTCTGATGTATTCAAACTGATCCATGATCCCTGGTATGTGATAAATAGGCCCAACACCGTAGTATGAGAAACATACCCATATCATGATGCTTGCGCAACCATGCTTCACTGTCTTCACAGTGTACTGTGGCTTGAAATCAGTGTTTGGGGGTCGTCTGACAAACTGTCTCCGGCCACTAGACCCAAAAAGAACAATCTTACTTTCATCAGTCCACAAAATGTTGCGCCATTTCTCTTTAGGCCAGTCAATGTGCTCTTTGGCAAATTGTAACCTCTTCAACGCATGTCTTTTTTTCAACAGTGGGACTTTGCGGGGGCTTCTTGCAGATAGCTTGGCTTTACATAGGCGTCTTCTAATTGTAACAGTACTCACAGGTAATTTTAGACCTTCTTTGATCTTCCTGGAGCTGATTGTTGGCTGAGTCCTTGCCATTTTGGCTATTCTTCTATCCATTCGAATGGTAGTTTTTCGCTTTCTTCCACGTCTTTCAGGTTTTGGTTGCCATTTTAAAGCATTTGCGATCATTTTAGCTGAGCAGCATATCATTTTCTGCACTTCTCTATATGTTTTCCCCTCTCCAATCAACTTTTTAATCAAGGTACGCTGTTCTTCTGAACAATGTCTGGAACGACCCATTTTCCTCAGAATTTCAGAGGGAAATGCACTGTAACCAGCATGTACAACATTTGCTGCCTTCCTTCCTTAAATAAGGGCAATAATTGCCACCTGTTTTTCAAAGAATGAATGACCTCACTAATAGAGCTCCACACTGCTATTATTTTGAACATGTCCCTTTCAATTAGTGATTCAATTACACAGAATCAGCAGCATGCATGTCATGACTGTTGGGTCTGTTGGATTTCTAATACTCTACTACACCTGCTAGTAAATTATTGGCCATGTAGAAATATCATTTCTACCAAAAACAGTGATTGATCAGGTTAGTGATGTCTGACTGATATTATTTTGAACACAACTTTACCCGTTAGGGAGATTTACTCTCTCTAAAGCTGACCATAGATGGGTTAGCGGATTGAAGGATAAAAACTGACCCAATTCTCCCATCTACACACTGAATGTGGATGAGGGAATCACTCCCCCTGGGCTATTGAGGCTTCCCTGTCATCAGAATACACAGATCATTGCTTTCTATAGCTAACTATAGCATTTATCTGACAGTCTGGTTGTACAGAAGTCAATCGTTAGATCAACCAGGGTGGCCATATTTGGTGAACAGGGGAAATTTCGATCCATATATGGCTGGCTTTACTGTTTTACTGTGTCTCCAGAAAGGAAAATTAAGTGAAATCCAGAACAGGAATAGTAGAGGAGAAATCTTCGAATGGGGACACTTGTTCCCACTTGTTGAGTCAACAGAGCATGAAATGAAGGGAAATTTCATTAATGAGACACAGATGGTAAAAAAAAGAACAGTTTTAACCTCCTCCCCCCACCAATAAAAAGAAATAGATTTAACCACTAGCCTACAGGGCACTTATACCCCCTTCCTGCCCAGGCCAATTTCCAGCTTTCAGCGCTGTCACACTTTGATTGGCAATTGTGCGGTCATGCAAGATTGTACCCATATGAACTTTTTATCATTTTTTTGAGACAGATAGAGCTTTCTTTAGGTAGTATTTAATCACCTCTGGGATTTTTATTTTTTCTTAAACAAACCAAAAACCACAGAAAATTTTGAAAAAAAAAATGTGTTTTTTCTTAGTTTTTGTTATACAATTTTGTAAATAAGTGATTTTTCTCCTTCACTGATGTGCGCTAATGAGGCTGCAGTGATGGGCACTGATAGGCTGCACTGATGGACACTGATAGGTGGCACTGATGGGCACTGATGAGGAGGCACTGGTAGGTGGCACTGATGGGCATTGACAGGCATCACTGATGGGCACTGAAAGGCAGCACTGATATATGGCACTGATAGGCGGCACTGATAGGTGGCACTGATAGGCAGCACTGACAGGCACTGATAGGCAGCACTGACAGGCACTGTTAGGCAGCACTGCCTGGCACTGTTAGGCGGCACTGACTGGCTCTGATAGGCGACACTGACTGGCACTGATAGGTGGCACTGATTGGCAGCACTGATAGGTGGCACTGATTGGCATTGATAGGTGGCACTGACTGGCACTGATGGGTGACATTAAAAGGCAGCTCAGATAGGTGACACTGATATGTGGCATTGATGTGCACTGGTATGCACTCATATGTGGCATTGATGTGGCACTGATGGGCACTGGCATGTGGCACTGATGAGCACTGACAGGTGGCACTTCTGGGGCCACACTGATCATCAGGGCACACTGATCATCAGTGCCCTGATGATCAGTGTACATGTCCCCTCCGCGGAAAGCTGATTACCGGCTCTCCTCTCGAGAGCTGTCAGCGTGACAGCTCGAGAGGAGAGAAATGCCGATAACCGGCATTTCCGTGTTTACATGTGATCAGCTGTGATTGGATCACATGACCGAGCCGACATCTTCGGCTCTTTCCGTGATCCGCTGTGTCCGGCGATCACACGCTACACGCTCCCTAAGCCGCGCATGTGCGGTGAGAATGGTAGGACGTCATATAACGTGAACGAGAGAGAGCCACCTTGCGCCCATCATTGTACTATAGGGCAGGCGGAAGGTGGTTAAATATAGTTTAACCCCTTTTCTACCCAGGTATGTCTTTAAATGGCAGATCAATTGCCAGTTATTTACTCAGTGGTGATCACTATGTACCAAGAGAGGAGAGAAAATGCCGATAACCGGCATTTCCGTGTTTACATGTGATCAGCTGTGATTGGATCACATGACCGAGCCGACATCTTCGGCTCTTTCCGTGATCCGCTGTGTCCGGCGATCACACGCTACACGCTCCCTAAGCCGCGCATGTGCGGTGAGAATGGTAGGACGTCATATAACGTCCTATCAGAACGAGAGAGCCACCTTGCGCCCATCATTGTACTATAGGGCAGGCGGAAGGTGGTTAAATATAGTTTAACCCCTTTTCTACCCAGGTATGTCTTTAAATGGCAGATCAATTGCCAGTTATTTACTCAGTGGTGATCACTATGTACCAAGCATAAGTTTAACCAAATTAAAAATAAAATTAAAATCAGCACAAGGGACATTGCCTACCTTTAGTACAATGTGTCCCTTGTGCTGCTGCCTCCTGCATTAGTTGAAATATTCCTGCTCTGAAATCCACCCTCCCAACCTTGCTGACATAATCTCCTGGTGTGGAGGTGGTTACTACAGTAGAGCTAAGGGAACTGAGACCGGAAATCATCAAGAATGCTAACTATGCCTGCCCTTTCTTTGTACCTCTTCCTTTCACAAAAGCTTCTGTGAATGAAAAATGATCAGGGAATGGAGGATGGTCAGATGACTGAAAGATCATAGCTTGTAATTTACTATGATCTGAAGCCATAGCATGGTTTCTATGAATGAAGGAGGTGGGCGGGAGTGTCATTGGCTCTATTAATCCAAACTGCACAAAAAGATTATGGCAGTGGGGATTGAGAGCCAGCAGTACAAAGAATACATTGGCGTGATAGTAGGTAATATCCCTTTAACTGATTTTTTTGGACACAATGTAGGCTTTAATGTCTATATTGCACACCAGAATGGAGAAAAACAGATTAACAGGCTAACTGGAGACTGCACTGTCCACTGTTAATTCTTTCCTGTGAAAACTGGGAAGCAGCACTGAGACAGCAGGAGACAGCAGCATTGAAAGTTGTACTGTAAACTGCAAGTGCTGGGGTAAGAATTTTAACAACTAGTATTCTGGAGAGGGCTTATTTTATTATACTCAATGTATTAAGCTAAAAAAAAGCTGATGATTTAATACTACTCAATCACTACACCCAGAAGCTGCAAAGAAAAAAACTTTCAACATAAAATCACACCTCCTTACCTATGAATATCAGGAAAGTATAAGTTGGGTAAAGTGTATCATATATTGTATAGCAAACTTTTAGAATGTTTTATATTCAATAAATTATATCTATTACAATGTTTTACATGAGATGGAAGATGAATAAAGGCACTGTTTGGGCTTCTTTGTGCTGCTGGGGCCATTGAATAACAATTTATGTCTATGTAATGGATTTTTATGGAGTCTTGGCAACCACCCATACTTCTTTCCCAGAGAGAGTGGGAAACCAGCCATGATGAAAATATACAAAATTCAGGTTAAAGCCATTTTAGCCAAGTGTCAATTAACCTGAAGTATCTTAGTGTACTTTGGGAGTTCCCAAGCTCACATAATGCAAATGTTTCAAGTTGGAACAGAGCCCAAAATCCAAAAAATTCAAGGGAAATATACAGTCCACTCAGCCTCTTTTCTTCCCAGTGAAAAATGAATTCACAATAATAGAGCTGGTCAAAAAAACTTTAAACAAATGTTTTGTCTCATGATGATTTTTAAGCTCTTGCTGCTTTTATGGTTAAGTCAATTAACATGCAAAAATAGTTACTATTGTTTCATGAAATATTCCCTTTTCCTAAAAGAGTGAATTTCAGAACCTGCAGAGCATGATATAAGATTGCTTTGACTGGGATAAGATTTCCTATCTACCTATTATTTAGATGTCTACCTAAATCAAAAATATTATTTACAAATTTTAATCAATTGATTTTTTTTTCCACCTCTGTCCCATTTGAGAAATTTCCTTTCACAGTCCCTTTAAATCAGTGGTTCTCAACCTTTCTAACGCCGCGACCCCTTAATACAGTTCCTCATGTTGTGGTGACCCCCAACCATAAAATTATTTTCGTTGCTACTTCAGAACTGTAATTTTGCAGTGGGAGGAATAGTGCCCCATCATTGGTGTCAGTGGGAGGAATAGTGCCCCGTCATTGGTGTCAGTGGGAGGAATAGTGCCCCATCATTGGTATCAGTGGGAGGAATAGTGCCCCATCATTGGTGTCAGTGGGAGGAATAGTGCCCCATCATTGGTATCAGTGGGAGGAATAGTGCCCCATCATTGGTATCAGTGGGAGGAATAGTGCCCCATAATTGGTGTCAGTGGAGGAATAGTGCCCCATCATTGGTATCAGTGGGAGGAATAGTGCCCCATCGTTGGTGTCAGTGGGAGGAATAGCGCCCCATCACTGATGTCAGTGGGAGGAATAGTGTCCCATCGTTGGTATCAGTGGGAGGAATAGTGTCCCGCCATTGGTGTCAGTGGGAGGAATAGTGCCCCATCATTGGTATCAGTGGGAGGACTAGCGCCCATCACTGATGTCAGTGGGAGGAATAGTGTCCCATCGTTGGTATCAGTGGGAGGAATAGTGCCCCATCATTGGTATCAGTGGGAGGAATAGTGTCCCATCATTGGTGTCAGTGGGAGGAATAGTGCCCCATCATTGGTATCAGTGGGAGGAATAGTGCCCCATCATTGGTATCAGTGGGAGGACTAGCGCCCCATCACTGATGTCAGTGGGAGGAATAGTGTCCCATCGTTGGTATCAGTGGGAGGAATAGTGTCCCGCCATTGGTGTCAGTGGGAGGAATAGTGCCCCATCATTGGTATCAGTGGGAGGACTAGCGCCCCATCGTTGGTGTCAGTGGGAGGAATAGTGCCCCATCGTTGGTATCAGTGGGAGGAATAGTGCCCCATCACTGATGTCAGTGGGAGGAATAGTGCCCCATCACTGATGTCAGTGGGAGGAATAGTGTCCCATCGTTGGTATCAGTGGGAGGAATAGTGTCCCATCGTTGGTATCAGTGGGAGGAATAGTGCCTCATCATTGGTGTCAGTGGGAGGAATAGTGCCTCATCATTGGTGTCAGTGGGAGGAATAGTGCCCCATCGTTGGTGTCAGTGGGGGGAGGAATAGTGCCTATCATTGGTGTCAGTGGGGGGAGGAATAGTGCCTATCATTGGTGTCAGTGGGGGGAGGAATAGTGCCCCATCGTTGGTGTCAGTGAGGGGAGGAATAGTGCCCCATCGTTGGTGTCAGTGGGGGGAGGAATAGTGCCCCATCGTTGGTGTCAGTGGGGGGAGGAATAGTGCCCCATCGTTGGTGTCAGTGGGGGGAGGAATAGTGCCCCATCGTTGGTGTCAGTGGGGGGGAGGAATAGTGCCCCATCGTTGGTGTCAGTGGAGGGAGGAATAGTGCCCCATCGTTGGTGTCAGTGGGGGGAGGAATAGTGCCTATCATTGGTGTCAGTAGGGGGAGGAATAGTGCCTATCATTGGTGCCAGTGGGAGGAATAGTGCCTATCATTGATGTCAGTGGGGGGAGGAATAGTGCCCCATCGTTGGTGTCAGTGGGGGGAGGAATAGTGCCTATCGTTGGTGTCAGTGGGGGGAGGAATAGTGCCCCATCGTTGGTGTCAGTGGGGGGAGGAATAGTGCCCCATCGTTGGTGTCAGTGGGGGAGGAAATAGTGCCCCATCGTTGGTGTCAGTGGGGGGAGGAATAGTGCCCCATCGTTGGTGTCAGTGGGGGGAGGAATAGTGCCCCATCGTTGGTGTCAGTGGGGGGGAGGAATAGTGCCCCATCGTTGGTGTCAGTGGGGGGAGGAATAGTGCCCCATCGTTGGTGTCAGTGGGGGGGAGGAACAGTGCCCCATCGTTGGTGTCAGTGGGAGGAATAGTGCCCCATCGTTGGTGTCAGTGGGAGGAATAGTGCCCCATCGTTGGTGTCAGTGGGAGGAATAGTGCCCCATCGTTGGTGTCAGTGGGAGGAATAGTGCCCCATCGTTGGTATCAGTGGGAGGAACAGTGCCCCATCGTTGGTGTCAGTGGGAGGAAACAGTGCCCCATCGTTGGTGTCAGTGGGAGGAATAGTGCCCCATCGTTGGTGTCAGTGGGAGGAATAGTGCCCCATCGTTGGTGTCAGTGGGGGGAGGAATAGTGCCTATCATTGGTGTCAGTGGGAGGAATAGTGCCCCATCGTTGGTGTCAGTGGGGGGGGAGGAATAGTGCCCCATCGTTGGTGTCAGTGGGGGGAGGAATAGTGCCCCATCGTTGGTATTAGTGACACAAATGATGGGGCACTATTCCTCCCACTGACACCAATGATACTTACCTTGCTGACCCCTGCTTCAGCCTGGGCTCGCTCTCTCCCTCTCCCATCTACAGCCTGCAGAAGCAAAATTTGCACTTACCTGTCAGCTGTCTTCCTTCTCTGGCCTCTCTCCTCTTCACTCGGTCCTGCAGCTCCCTAGATCTTCTTCGATCTGCGCGCTCTGCCGCTCGTCTCCTCCTCTCCAAGCTCCACCTCCTCGCCGGTGATTGGCCGCCTGTGTGTCTTTCCTGAGCTACAGTTCCGGTGGCCAATCAGCGGCGAGGAGGCGGAGCTGTTGAGTGATCCCGGAGGTGTGGCCAGGTTACAGGGGCAGCATATCATCCCGTCCACAGATCGCGAGACAGAGCAGCGGTGTCTCGGTTCCTAAGACCATCGGAAATATGTTTTCCGATGGTCTTAGGCGACCCCTGGGAAATGGTCGTTCGACCCCCAAAGGGGTCGCGACCCCCAGGTTGAGAACCGCTGCTTTAAATAGTGGTTATCAGAACAAGT